CCCACCAGCTGAGTTATGTGCAGGAGAAGGCGGTTCGACAGGATCCTGGTGAATATTTGCAGGTCTACGTTGAGCAAGGATATGGGTCTATAGCTCTAGCATACCTGGGGATCTTTTCCTTCTTTGGGAATGACCGTAATGTGTGCCTCCATTGACTGGCGGGGGAGAGTGGATCCCCCCGGATGTCATTGAAGGCAGCAAGGAAGTGTGGGCCCAGGAGATCTTTGAATAGTTTGTAATACTGAGATGGTATGCTGCCTCGCTATACACCTCCTCTACATCCAAGGATACTGAGCGGTGTATCAAAATCGACACCCTACGCGATTTATTGGATGGAGAAGTCGAGTGATATGTCCCTGGGTACAGATGTGTCCCAAACACCGACGTCTTCCCATGTTTGAAATGGGTTTCCTGCAACAGTGCAATAGAGGCCCTGGCCGCTTTCAAATCCCCCAGTACCCTGGCCCTTTTCTCTGGAGAATTTAGGCCCTTTCCGTTAAAAGAAAGAACTATCAAATCAGCCGGTGGAACCATGGCCCTCTAGTAGGTATCGCTATACAGCCGTGTATAATCTGGGATATGTCCTAATCCTCACTCTAAGTGTAGTATCCCCAGTGGGTAGAGCAGCAAGGGTAACAGAAGAAAAGGTATAGAAAGACTGATAATGGGACAGCAGAAAGAAGAAGAAAAGCGCTCAACCCCACTCGGGTGTGAGGTCAGAGCAATGCGAGGTATAGAGGAGAAAGACAAACAGTGTCTAGATAAACAACCCCAACCAGGGCTAAATGGCAGCTGGAGAAGACGAATCGTCAATTCCAGGGCCCTACCCGGTTACAATTTGCGGGGGATACTAGGGGGCGAGGCCCTGCTTCTGTCCTCGCAGACGCAAGCAGGTCACCCCTCTGTGGGTACGTGGTCTACTGTCTCAGAAAGACCAATAACATGAACCAGAGATCCGGCCCCGCTACGGAGGTGGACCCATCATTGTCTAATTAACATTGTAACATTTGAACCAACATTGAAAGCCGCTACCCAGCGTATAACATATCGTAGAGCCCCACTCATCCCTCCATCCGGGTCTTTGTCCATCGCTTTCCATCTGACTGTCAATAAGCCTCAGCCCCGGATAGAGTGGAGGAGCCTCTTATCCCCACCGCAGGTTCCTTGCCAGCTCTGCAGGTCCCTTCCCAGCTCCATTCAGCCTCATGCTAGATACCTCTGTTTGCTGCCCCTCACCACTCCATGTTCCCTCTGCATGTCAACTAAGGTAGGGACAACCCATCCATCCCCCCGGACCCCTGCAGGCGAGACCCATCTCCCCCCACCACCCCAAGCAACACACCCTGTACCACCCTAATGGCACCGGGGGAGGGGTGAAGGCAGTAAAAATCCCCCTTCGTGCAAAAGAAAAGCAAACTGTGCATTCACGTTACCGGCCAACGCTCCGGTATCCACTCTGCTATTTCCTCTATGAAGAACGGAAGCCAACGCTGTTGGCGTCTTCCCGCATGGGACATAGGGATTCTTCCCCTTGTTCGGGTTGCTGCCTCCGGGGACGCGGTCCAGGTGACCTGTTCGCCGCCATCTGCGAGCGGGGCGGTGTTGCCCAGTCGGCTTGCTCTCTCCCTACTGGGGGATCCTGTGCCCCACGTAGATCCATATACCAGTCGGAGATCGGCACTTCTGGAATATCTAGGAGGCTGCAGAAATCCGGCACATCTTCCGGTAAACGTATCGTGGCTGTTTGTCCTCGATGGGTAGCCGTCAGGCAGAATGGGAATTGCCAGCGGTATACAATGCCTCTATCCCTCAGGTAGGCCAGGAGAGGCCGCAGCGCCCTGCATTGATGTAGTGCAATCACCGACAGGTCCTGGAAAAGCTTCACCTCACTTCCCTCAATCTCCACTGCTTCTCTGGTCCTGGCCTTCTGAAGAATCTCCTCCTTGAGAGGGAAGCTCTGTAGACTGTAGACAGCATATGATGTCTCTGGGCACCTCGTCGGCTGCTGCCCTAGGCTTCAGGGCTCTGTGTGCTCTCACGAGGTCGATTGGAGATTCTGCTGGGCGCTCTAGCACATCATTAAAAATGTGCCTCAGCGTGTCAGGGATTGCCTGCGGCAGGATCGTCTCGGGTATCCCCCTCAGTCTAATGTTGGCTCTGCGACCTCTGTTATCAAGGTCCTCCAAGTGCCTTCTCATCCCAATTAGGCTACGCACTGTGGATTCGCTCTGCCCCTGAAGAGAAGCAATCACCATGTCTCTCTTGCGGCCCGCCTTTTCTACTGTAGTCAGGTGGTGGCCGACCTCTTGGATGTCCCGTCGTAGTTCCAAGACTGCCTCACAAAGGGCTGCCTTTTATATCGGAGGCCACGGAGGAGAGTTCCGATTTGGTCGGGAGATTATGTAGGTAGGAGGGGAGCGGGGGCTCGGTCATGTCACTCTCTGCATGTCTCGGGGCCTTTACCTTCTCCGGCTTGTGCGGGGTGGACGCCATCTTGGGCGAGGCCACCTCTCCCGTGTCCGGTTTCTGGGGCTTGAATATGTCCGGTACTTGCTTGCCCGGTTTCGACTTAGCGGGCGTTGGGACTTTGGTTAGATAGTCTTGCTTCCCGATCTTCATGTTGGTCTAGAAGTGTGTAAGTAGCTTCGTATGGGTCGTTTTTGGCCAGAGCTCTCAAGTCAAGCTGCCATTAGCCTCGCGGTGCAGACCACGCCCTGCCAAGTCTGTTATCACCTCCCTTTATGATGGAGACTTTTTGTCTTCTGTGGACAATCAAAGATGTTTTACTTGCATGTCCTATCTTTCTAGTGCATCAGTGACTCCTCCACTTTGCCATGGGGCCTATACACTACCAGTTTGTGCCCTTCCCTTTTGGCCTCTCATCTGCACCTCAGGTGTTTACCGAGGTCCTAACCCCTATACTAGCCTTGCTATGTTCTACTGGCATGCCCATTGTGATAGTTGAACAGGGGTAGTGAAATAAAATTTAAGGAGGTCTGATAACTAAAATTTTTCAACGGCCGAGGTCCGGTCTTGGGTAGTGAGTTATGGCTGGAAGTGGATGCACCGGCCTCGCAGGCTGGTGTATGCACAGTCAGCCAGCCATAACCGAGCACAGGTAGGCAACTGGTCTGATCTGGACATAATCGGCACATGGTCCGTATCCAGACCACGGTCTGCAATTTAGTGACCACTTTTCAAGCGGAAGCAATGGATGCTTTGGTGGCTCCATGGGCTCAATACACCCTGATCTATGCCTTTCCTACCCTGAAACTTCTTAGCCTGCTTTGTTGAATCAAGCTGGAGGCCATTTTTTTGAACTTCATTGCGCCAGACTGGCCCAGGCAGACATGGTTTGCCAATATTGGTAAGACTTAGTGTTGCAACCACCTAATTGATTAATCAAAAATAATTGATTTATGAGAATAGTTGTCAACTATTCTCATTATCGATTAGTTGGCTGGATCCCCTAGCTCTCTCCTCCACACCGAGAGGAGGGCACAGCAAGCAGGGGAGTGTATGCAAGGTCAAGTGTCTGCCATTTGTATCTGTTCTAGAGACAATTGGCTACCTGTTTTTTTTCTCTTCTCTTCTATAGCCACTATAAGATAAGGTTTCATTTGTCAGGAAGACGTGACAGGAAGGAGATTTAGAGCATACCCCAGTGTGGGCAGACACCCGTCTGGTACATTCAAGTAGTAAAAGGGAACAGCGTTATCAGACCTTGTACTGGGGTCTGTTTTCGAGGTGAGCAGTATTCCATCTGGTACTTGCAAGAGGTTAACAGCTTGCTGGAGGTATCAGCATTGGAGCACACACTTTGATCTTCACAGAGAAGGACCCGTTTTGATCTGCACAGCTTTTCATTACGGACTGCTTTTGCATTGCACTGGAATAATTGATTGTGTGACACAGTGCTACATGGCATCAACGGACTTGTTTCCATGGTGCATCTTTTTTATGTGTGGGTTCATACACATCACATATGTGAGTTTGAAGCACTCTGTCACTGTATTTAATGGGATGATCTATGTCATTTCACTATAAGTTTACATATTGTTATTTTTACATGTAAGTGGATTTATTGGTGTTGCTTTCTATATTCAGTTTCTTATGATTGACTAATAATTATTATTAGCACTAGAAGATTCACAGCGCAGCACTTATATTTTTGTGGCTTTCTAATTGGCTACCTCACTGTCTGGCCTTCGTACGGGGGATCTTCCATGTTGCCCCATCCCCCCATCCATTCCCTTGTGACTCTGTAGGATATGAATCTGGTTATCTTTGTGCTTCAGAAACCACTATTTGAACCCTTTAGAGACATTCACCTCTGCATGTGCGTGTCTGTCTGAACTGGGGGCCCTAACCTTTTGTTGTTCTGCATTGCGACAAGGTGGTGTTGCTTTTCACTTCAATCCAGACTTTTTATTTATCTGTCCATCTTTCCGGCTTTAGTTCACAAGAAGGAAATTCCACTCCATTGTCTGGATATGTTTTGGTCTCCTTTCAGGAAGGCTGATTTCCCTTTTTATCATCCCGGATGGACCCCATAAGGCTGCAATGGCTACTCATTCTACGAACTCTAGGTGGCTTAGCCAGACCATCATTTAAGCTCAGGGTCTCAAGGATCAGGTTCCACCCAAAATAGCAAATGATGATAAACGTGCAGGGGTGTGGAAAGTTAAAAAAACAAAAAACTACCTGTCAAGGAGCACGTTACTAAGTCTTGGACTTTTCAGCATCAAGCAACCATCCCGAATTTCCAAGGCCTGGTCGTTTCTTCACATATTATCCAAACTTTCAAACAGGCAGGTCATTCTGTGCTGTCTTTTAGGTAACTCATAGTGCCCTGGAAGTAAATTTGTCATGTATTAGATGTTTATTTGTATAACAAGATTGTGCGTTTGATGTAAAAACATATTGATTATTTACAATAACATTGGCCTGAAACCATTATCGATTCCCCTAAACTCCCTTTTATATGGTTTTACACACAGGTGAACCTCCAATCAAAAGAAAGCTTTTACCAGAATTTGACAGATCGTCGATGCAAGGATCGAAACTAACTTTGAACCCTTTAACAAGCAGCCCTCATAGTAGGTTTCCTTTGTAAAGTTTTATCATGTGCCCCTCACTGCTGATTAGTATATTATTATGTAGCTAATTTGAAAACATTCTTCAGCAAAATAGCAAATGATGATTAACATGCAGTGGTGTGGAAAGTAAAACAAAAAAAAAGTACTTGTCCAAGGATTAAAGCGGGGGGCCCAATCTACTTTTGTCCCTCATGACAATCTACTTTTCGTGATACAAAAAATAATTTTAACCAAAACCACCTGACCACATTGGTCAGTGTGGTCAGGTGACGGCGCTAACCAATGAGTGCTCGCAAGTTGCAAGCGAAATTCCAAAGGTTCATGGGGAGGGGGCCGGATTTGAGCAGGTAATTCCATTTTCCCAAATTACTTGGGAAAGTGAACTTACCCTTTAAAGCTCATTGTGTGTGTTAGAGAGCGCTGCTGCCCGGCTACCACAATATGGCACACAGTGAAATGGGGGCAGCGCACACACATGCCCATTCACATGCAGATGGCAGGGGTGATGGGGGTTGGTTTTAAGTTTTTTTTATTGTTTGTTTTTACTTTTATGTTTTTATTTATTTTTTGTAGTTAACTTTATTGCTATCACGCAGGGGATAACAAGCCCCCTGTGTGATAATGTTTGGAGGTGACAGGTTCTTTATGGAGCCTGCCCTTCAATACAGAAGATCAAGCACAGCATTCCTTTTCTTCTCCATTCTTCTCACAGTGGCCCTTTTGACTTAGGACAGATTAATATATCCCTTTACTTCCTGGAACTGTGCCACATGTGACTAGGATAAGTGACCATGCACATCATCCCAGGGGAGGAAAATGTCTTTCCATGGTATTATAAATTATATTTCCCAGCAATGCTCTGCTGATGTAACCCTCGCAGGATGCAACACTTGGGTACAGATTACATCACTTTTGCCAAAGAGGACCAGGAAGTAAAAAAACAAGAACTTGGAAGTAAAATGAAAATTTGTTTGTTCAACTAATGAATGGAAGATGATTTCATATAAGTATACAGAGCTACACGCTAATGTGATTTTATAGTCAAAGTGGGGTGTTCCTGTAATTCTAGTGATTCTGATGTTGACCCAGGAGGAAGCTTGTAATGTTTTCTATTTCCTTAGGTGAACTTAAAGATCGAAGAAAATTTTTATACAATGTTTCTTTAAAGGCCTCATTCTGTGATCCTACGAGGTAAAGCAGAAATAATTGTGCTATGCCAATGTTTTGTGCTAACTGTATAATAATAATTCAGTGGAACAATTTGACCGCCATCTGAAACGCCATAAGTTTATTCATGCTAATGGCTAAGCTAATAGCAAGCATTGTTTGCCAGCTGATATAACTAGGGCTGCAACTAACTAATCGATTTAATCAATAATGAGAATAGTTGTCAATTCTCATTATCGATTAGTTGGTTGGATGCCCTAGCTCTCTCCTCCATGCTGGGAGGAGGGCACAGCAAGCAGTATGCAGGTGCAATAGCCAACTTGCTATTGCAATTTGAAATGACCAATAGCAGGCTGGCTTTTACACCAGTCCACTACCTGCTATATTTACATTCAGCTGCCGTCTGCAGAATCTTACCACTGGCAGCTGTCATTCCCAGGCTGAAGCTATTCAAGCCATGTGCTTACAATACAATTATAAAAATAAAAAAAGAGCAAATATGATAAAACAGTCATTTTCATTTTCAGCCTGACAAATTCTGCTGCGGGAGGTGCGTTGCAGTGCCAATCATTTCAATGGCACCCCAAATGTGCCTCCCACCCACAGTGTGATTGCCCGCACTGGAACACAAGGTACCGCAATGCCATGCGTTCCAGTGCAGTGTGATTGCAAAAAATTGTGCATGCAGTTTTATTCTAAAGTGAACTTTGTAACACTGCATTTGTGTATTTTATTTAAAATTTAAGGATGGTAATTTGTTTCATTTTTTTTTTTATCCGATTAATCGAAAAAATAATCAGCCAACTAATCGATTATGAAAATAATCATTAGCGGCAGCCCTAGATAGAATGATCCATTATCCAGGGACACTTTGCACATTTAATATTTTGCTGTTTTGATATTGTTCACTTTCATAGTATCCCTTTTCTGTGGACATGAAATAGGAAAGTGTCAAGAAATAATTTGCTTGCACGCAGTTAGAGCCAGCTGGCTCTATGTAATGTTTTGAAGCAAAACTTCAACATTTTATCTGTATAGAAATAAAGCTAGACAATCGGAATGTTTTGAATTTGAGATTACGAAGGCTGGCATCTTTTCAGTTTCACAAAATGCCATGTCAATGAAGCTCTGAGTAATGGGAGGATCAGACCATTGCTCCATCTGATACACCACGCATGTCAAAATTAATGAGACATATTTCTGAGAGCACTAACAAGCTATTTCAGGATGGCTTCACTTAATTTGTGTAGATCATAAATATCTGTTAGTAAGTATGCTTGCTACTTGGCATACATCTCTTTATACTAATTGGGCGAGTGTCAGAGATTAAATAAAAGGTTTTAATCTCTGTGATTTAAGATCTTTTTTTTTTTATTTGGATTATTGTCTACTCGTAAATAATACATAAATGGACCATCTCGTACCGTATGCAGATTTGCTTCTCTGACTTCTATCAGAACACACTCCTCCCTAATGCTGACCCGTGGGTCAACAAAAATCTTTGATTTGTATCTATCAATCATATATTGTAGAAGCTAGTATTTTATGGCTTATCCAGTATACATTCTCTCGGCTCGTAAATCATTGGTGGTGTTCTCATTATGCACATTGATGAGGTCATCCCTGAGAACTTGGTTCATGACAGTATAGTATACTCAAGAAAGTATAGTATTCCATATAAACAAAATGCAATTTTCCATTCAATGGTGATATTATTAAATTGTAGCACATCCATGTGATATATTCTCTGATTTATCTTTCGAACCCGCAAAACAATTTCTTCCACTCTGTATGGGTGAAACAATTTCATGCGCTGCTAGGTATAAAGTGACAGGGGTGTTGACATTTTTTAAAAAACTACTTGTCCAAGGACTAAAGCGGGGGCCAGATCTACTTGTGCCTCATGGAAATCTACTTGTCCTGAAGCAAAAAAAGAAAAACATTTAACCAAAACCGTATTTCGCAGTGCCAAGAAGAGCTTCTCATTGGTCAGTGCCGTCAGGTGATGGCACTGACCAACGAGTGCTAGCAATTTGCGAGTGAAATTCAGAATACATGGCACAGGTACAGATAGTACACCCATACTGGCGGATGGGAAGGACTGTTCCCTGAAAGGTAAGTATAGCGGGGGGAGAGGGGACCAGATTTGTGCAGGTAATTCCATTTTCCCAAATTACTTAGGAAAGTGAATTTACCCTTTGGGGTGGGTGCAGACTTGGGCGACCGTGTGCGGTTGCCACGCGGCCCCCTTGATTTCAATGGTGTTATATCCGCGTGGTAATCGCAGAAAAAAGGTACATGTACCTTTTTTGGCGACACACACCGTGCTGTGTTTTCTACTGCGATTATGTGTGACTGCACAGGCGTTATTGCGGCGGGAAACTGCACAATCTGCCTGGCGTTACTGGGGTGCCATTAGACAATAATGGCACTGCCAGCACGATCGGCGGTGGTGTGCGATTCTGTGACCGCCCGGCCATCCACACAGTTTTGTGCCATGCGGTAACGGATCGCCCACTCGCGCACACACAATGCCCCATGCATGCATTTATTCGCATGCAGATGATAGGGGTTGGTTTCAATTTTTTAGATTTTATTTTATTTTTGCTTTGTAATATTTTTTATTTTTTTTATTTTTTACTTTATCGCCTTTTTTACCCCCCCATTTTTATGTAGTTACATTTTTAAATGTTATATATTTTATCTTTTGAGAAAAGGATTTTACGGTGAGTACCAAAATCCTATTTTTTCTATTCACTTGACTTTATTGCTATCACATAAGGGTTAACAAACCCTTGTGTGATAGCTTTTGGAGGTGAAAGGTTCTCTTTATTGACCCTTTCACCTCCAACACAGGAGTTCTAGCACAGTACTGTGCTCGTTCTCCTGTGACAGGAAGGCTGCATTCATGTGTCACTATTCACACGAAGCAAAGCCGAGAAGCGTTCTCTGCCTTGCTCCGTGCTCTCTAACCTAATTTGCCGTGGTCACGGATCCCCCACAAGAGGGGGGGGGCCCGAAGACCACGGCAAAAAGGAAGCCCAAGTGCAGAGAGAGAGGCAGCCGGGAGCCATACATGGCCGGCCGGGCGCCGGAGATAGATAGATGGAGAGGGGAGGGGGAGTGAGATTCAGGCAAGTTACAAGTGGTTTTGGACGGCTGTACAGCCGTTTAAAATCACTTGTACGAAACGGCTCCCATACTACATTTAGCCGTGCTGCTTGTAGAAAGAAACTACTCGCCCAAAACTGCCTGCGTCGGGCGATAGGAATTCCACACCCCTGAGTAAGTGTAGCTTTCTAGGAAAACTGGGAAGTATATCAGAAGACGGTTTCGGACTTAAGATTGTGATGTAAACATGCTGACATTTTGGATTGGCCCAGTATGCATGTTTATAATAGAGGTTGAAAAAAATTGGCTCCAGACATCTGCCTCCATTTTCCCATCCCATCCAAATCAAATTTCAATCATCTGAAAAATTTTGGGAAGGACAATCTTTATTTAATTCTTCAAAGATCACATGTCTGCTGGTCAGACATGATGGTTGTTTATAGTGTTGTGTCTGTGGGTGCCCTGCAACCAACATAGTAGACCAGAATAATGTTTGTGTGTTTTTTCTTTTATTGTTGCATGATACTCCTAAGCCCTCATCCACACTGTAATCGGCCCGCACGTACAGCTCCAGGCACGGCCGTACCAAGCAGCACCCGGGAAGGACAGGTGCTGTGTGTGGTTAGTACGCAGCCGTTGTCCTTCTCTATGGGACTACACGGCCGTACGCTCACCCGCCCTGCACGTCCATGCGGATGAGCGTACTCGTACGCTGACAGGAAGGATTCTGTCTGCGTCCGAGCCGGAAAACACGCACCCCTATGGACCTGCACTTGAGGTTAGCGCACGGGGGCCTATGGCCGGGTAGTCCCATAGAGAAGGACGGGGGGGCCTTTCCGCCACGTAGTGCCATAGAGAAGGACAGGGGCTGCGTACTAATCACACGCAGCACCTGTCCTTCCGGGGAGCTTCTTGGTTACGGCCCTGCACGGAGCTGTACGTGCGGGCCGATTACAGTGTGAATGAGGGCTAAATGTTAAGGGGAATTCTTGGTCACATGAGTGCAATGAAGAATCTCTGCATAGTTTTAAAGATTTTAGTACTAACAGATCTATGCAGACAATAATAAGCATATCCACTTACCAATAAACTGTGAATTGTACTGTATAAGCATACATATGTGTTGTGTCTCAGCTGCATGTTAAGGTAATTGGGACATCTCTGTAACAAAACCATTTGCCCCTCTGCCTTCTAGTGCTGTACGCGTAAAAAAAAAAAACTGAGTTGGGATTTGAGGTATCTGTAAAAGTAATATCAGGCTCCATTCACACATAGCAGTAGCGGCTTCCGTGTGGGTTTTCACGGGGGAAAACCAGGTGGAACGAAACCGTGCAAATGGCAACATATGCGCAGATTCCACACGTATGTAGCTATTACTATAGCCAGAACGCGCGGAGTCCACCCATAAAATCGCGCTTGGAGTATTTTGCAGGACGTGCAGTTTTGTGCCGCTGCAATAGTCTGAACTATGCACATCGCAATGCATTGGTTTTTTTGTTTCGCTCATTTCCTCGCAAAGACATGCGGAAAACTGCTGATTTGTGAATGGAGCCTAAGAGTTGCCCTGTATCCATTGCACAACATGCTTGGTTTTGTCACGGTCTGGAACTTTATCTATAATCTATCATTTGTATTATTTATTCCCTGTGCTTCGTATGTGCGCTTCGTAGATCTTTTATTCGATTTTGTGGATATTTTATGATAAAGTGTAAATAAATGTTATTTATTTTGCAGCTTTTCTGCTCGAGAGAAGGTAGCCCAGGTTTCCCAGGTTACTACCCGGAGCCATTTTTATTCTAGATCTGCTGCTTTTCAACAGTCCTCATCAGATAACACTGCAGATGCTTCTGATGATGGAAGACAACTGAACACGTTGCTTTCTTACAGACCAGCCACTGGTAGATTTGTCTCTCCTTTAAAGGTGGCAGATCATACGTCATCTGAGGAACAGACACATGACCAGACTGACTTGGAACCCCATAATGGCGAGGGCAAATTGGAGCATGAAAAGTGTCCAGAGTTTGTATCGGGTAAATATGTTTTTATTACTGTATAATAATTCTTTATGGTAATTGTGGGGATTTAAAAATACTTCTGCGTGGCTGTCAATTAAATTTGTTTACTTTTTTTGTCTTCATGTTTTGGATAGAGTGGGGAATAATTAGGACTTCTATCAGGTTTTTGTTGATGCTGTGTCTTTATTAGGGGGGTTTTCCATGTATGTTGTTACAATGAAAGAATAGAAAGTGAGGGGGAATATCTCTTCAGTGGGGTTGTGGTCAGCAATAAAAGCACTTCTTTCTCCTCCATTGAGGAACACTGAAAGTCTTAATTCTCCAAGTTATATCACCGTCGACAGGATTAAACACTGGCAAGCAAAAAGAAAACTGTAGGTCATCCCAGGATAACCCCTCCCATTACCAACATGTCTCCGTTTTTTCTAGTGTCCTAGGAGGTTGGACTTTTTTTTTTCAACAGTTCTGCTGTGTTAGTTAGCTAGCTTTTTTTTTTTTTTCGATATATATATTTTTTCCTTTAATCAAGACTGATCTCTTTTTGCTGTTGAAGCTTTGTCTCTTCAGTTGCAGCTTTCTGGCACAGTCATCTTCCACCTGACTTTTGGAGTACTGAGTGTGGACCACACTGGACTTGTGGTAATAACGTGGAAGTGACCATGCCGTTAAGAAATATAATTTAGCTGTGAACAGGCAGAGAGCAGCTGGCATTGCCCCAATGCTTGCCCCGTCTCTGCAGCTGTTTACCAGATTTGCAGGCTGACACCTGGTTTCTGATCACACATTTTCTAAGTTCTACCAGGTGGATATTGCGGCCTCATCTGATGCCAGCTCCAGCTCCGGACATAAGGTTATTCAGGTGGCTCACTGCAGTCCACAGTTGTTTGGTTTCCTTGAGCCAGCAGTTTAGCATTTGTTTGCCGTGATGCCCACCCTTTGACTGGACTGCCTGTGTGGACAACTAAGAAAATAGGATGTTTGTACTCACTTTAAAATTTTCTTGGAGACCATTGAGAGACACAGGTCCCACCACTCTGTATGTATGATCATGCTTTGGTACTGCTTTTTTGCAAAGTTGAGTAATGCTGGTATTGGGAAAGGTTCTCCTTGGCTGTTCTACAGTTTCAGTGTCCAATGCTCCTGTAGATGACAATACTAAAAAAAGGATTTAACAAGGAATACAAAAATCCTATTTTACTGAATGGTTTCAAAATTTTCTTTATCTGTTAAAAGATTTTTCCCAGTTGTTGTCGAGTGTACGTTGTGCCAGAGACCTGCAGGAAATGAGAATATGGAAGAAACAAAGGCAGAAAATTAAACCACACCCGGGATCATTGTACCAGCTAAAATCCTCTTCTGCAGACAGAATTCCACTTGTGTCAGCAGTACAAGGGATGCTGCCTACGGTGTACACAAAGACACAGGTAGAGTCCTAACACTTGAAATGACCGACTATTTGCACAACCAAAGCCATCAAAAACCCTAGTGGTCGTAGTCACACTCCTGTAACAAAAGATCTGTATGATTGTGCAGATTTGCAAAGACCCACCTGTGTATGGTGTCATTGGTCAATGTTCCTGTCTTTCCGGAAATTGTTAAGTATTGTAAAAAAAAAAAATACTCTTCCCAATACTTCGAGTCTTGTTTCCGCACCTTATACCTTTTAACATTTCTAGTATTATACATTGTTTATGTTACAGAGCATTCAGCTGGTAGCAGATTTTATACATATATTTTTATTTCCCAGATCTTTATTAGGGTCAAACAGTAACAAACAGTACTCACAATAGCCCGTACAGCAGCCGAGCCGAATCCATATGCTTCGGCTCAGCTGAGCCGTAGTGACACCCGAAGCGTGGAGAAAGGCTGGCCGAAGGCTTGCTCCACTCAGTTGTAATGACAGAACAGTGTCCCCAAATGACCTGGGGCCGTGATGTCGCAGCCGGCTCCGCCCAGTCGTGTTTTTGTTTTTGCCTGGGACCTGCTAGAAGACTCTGGCAGGTGCCGGCCAATAGTAATCAGTTTAGCGGAGCTAGCGGTGATGTCACAATTGGGCTAGCGCCGCCCAATTGTTTATATTTTGCCAGCATCTGTCAGATTCGACATTATGCAGCGGAAGTTCGTCGGGCCGGCAAGCCTCCTTTTAAAAAAATGTATTTGTTTTTTTTCTATTCTCTTCGCTACCTCGGAGGTACTGAGCAGAATAGCCGAGCCGAATGGAGCTCGGCGGCATTCGGCTATTCATTTACTGCTGTTCAGCCCCCTTTAAGAATAGGAGCAAGCGGCAGCGAGTGAACTGCTGGAGCTTCGGCTCAGCCGATCCAGATATTGGATCGGCTGAGATGAACTCCTTCTGCAGAGCATGTTCGGCTGACCGAAGGCAGCCGATCTACGACTGATTTAGCCGATGTATAGCTGAAACCAGCCGTTCAAGGCTGAAGTGAATAGCCGAACAGCGTTCGGCTCAATTCACGTCGGCTCGGTTATTCACTCTGCTGCCTTCGGCAGCTAAGTGAATAGCCTAGTTAGACTCAAAATCTAACCGACAAAGTCTACTGAATTAAAATTAACATGGGTGCAATTTTTTGTTGTTGTGTTTTTTGTGTTGCCTTGCAAGACCTTTTATTCCACTTTTAACCAACGCAGAGAAACCACGTCCCCCGTCCCCCCAAAACTGTCAGTATAAATAGCATAATATAATAGGTGTATGTAAACCCCTCTAACAATATTGGTTGTGACACATCACACTAAACAGGTCACCTGATCTATCTCCTTATTCTCTGCACTGCATGGCCTGAACTGTGGGCAGTGTGTCTTGTGTCTTGCTGGTGTTGCTTCTGTGTATTACTGCCTTCTGTACTAGGCTGTCAATCACCCAACTGGATCCTTCCTACCAGGTTCACTGCAGTCTGATCTGTGGGCGGGGCTAAGACACAGTGTGGCATCACTGCTTTGTATTACTGTCTTTTGTCCTGAAGCCACCCAGCAAAGATCCTTTCCAGCATGCTCACAACATAATACGATATATATGGGTGGGGCTAAGGTGTGGAGCATAATATGTCTTGCTCAGTCCTCCTCGCAAGACTTTTCTGCCCGTTATATGTGGATGTGCGAGATGAGGGAAGTGGAGGAAAGCACTTGCCACTTGTATTGAGGAAGTCCTAGTAACTGGCAGGGTCACTATTTTCATATTTAGCGCAACCGTTTCACCAGAAAAGAAGAGCACACTTATTTGGCAAATGTATTTGTGAGCATCTAAGAAAAAAATTATATTTTTAAGATGAGATTAAATCAGGTTGGCAAATGCACATACGGTATTAGCACAGTTATAACTTTTTTTCACAAGATTGGGATCATCCAAAATAATTGTTTGGACCTGGGGATTAATCTTGGGAGCAGGTTGTGAGAGGTCTGGATAAAGGAGGTGGAGACCTCACATGGGACTTTTAGTTGCCTGGTTCGAATGCCTATGTTCTAGCCAGTTACTGGCCAAATGCAGGTATACAGATTAGGAATTTCTTTGCTGGTTTGAATAATTGTTTCCAGTTATGTAACTCTGCACAGCATGACAGGTCACAAGTGTAAGGGCAGCAGTCTTGGGGCCTTGTCGTCACACGATCCTCTTCACAGTTCTGGAGGATCTTGCAGTGTTCCTTCTAAAGGACCTGCTACTAAGAGCCCCGATCAGTCACCTGTCTGAGTCGCAGTACTCCTCAGAGTTCTCTTTAGATTCTTCAGGGATGACTTTCTCCTCTTTCCATATCTAGAGAGGAATTCTCAGCTGACAGATATATGGACATAGGAGAAATATGGTTTCATTAGGCAACATTGTTATAGGGAAATGACAATGTTGCCTAATGTTAAAAGGGGAAAGGACATTGTTTTTGAGGCTACTTAAAACTGCTCCAAATGTATATATTTGGTAATGACTTTAGACTATTTGTGTGATTTAATTCAGTTATACAGGTTTGGTGTTTTGAAAAACCACATTGGAATCAACAGTGAGACAGCCAAGAAATTTGATTTCCATTGTCCGGATTATTTCACAAAGAACTGCCTTCTGCCTGATGGTGGTGTGCGGATCGCTGATGGTGGCTGGCTGGTACCCTCTGATAAACTGACTGCTGGCAGGGAGGAGTTCTACAGGTAATGCTGTTTGTGTTCTTTCAAGATTGAATTGATGTGAAACCCCAGACCTATGGTGGATGTCAGATGGACACGCTTTGTGCGATGTTTAATTTCGGAAGAAGGGCAGCATGGTCAAAATGTAACCATTGCTTTTACGCTTGTTTTAATATAATTAACCGTCATACCCTGTAAGAAGCGTTATACCAGTGTATTACACAACACAGAAGGGTACATGCAGAGTCTCAGCAGAGCATTTCTCATACTTCACAAATTCTCAATACATTTCCATGGTCCACGGAATATGAATATATTTCCATGAAAATTCAATATATTTCCATACTCTTGTCACACAGACAAAAAAAACTGCATTAATTTGTTGTAGACCACATAGCTTTGCTTTGTAGAAAGCTGTTGATGACTTCAATCACTTTGTTTAGTGAAAGTCATAAAGCACTTTCTGCTACCTTTTATCATACTACACACAAGATCCATCTACTAGACTGTGTACTGTTATAAGTAACAGGATTGTGAGAAACTCTCACTTAAAGGAGAACTATGGCGTGAGTGAATTACACTCATACCCATAGTTAGAGCCGACGTGTGACACTTTCAATGTCTGCTCTTTTGATCGGGAAGTGAAAGAAAACATACCTCTGCTTGCTCACTTCCTGATCATCTCCCTGCAGAGAGTTGTGACTGTCAGTCACCGCTCCCCAAAGGGATTCCCCTCTCTGATCCTCCAGCGCTGACTGGAAGGACGGATAGGGGAGGGCATAGCTGGCTCTGCCTCTAGATTGACAACGGGCTCTGCCTATCAGCCAGCGGGGTGAATCTCAACAGTATTGTTGGGATCCGTCCCGGCTGCGTCGCTGTCAGCATATAGCAATAGCCCACTATACACAGAGTTTTGGGTCATGGAAGGAGGTTAGTATATGTCCTCCCGTGACCCTAAAGAGAACTATGGGGAAAACACTTACCCCATAGTTCTGCTTTTAATGTACTGTATATTTCAAGGCAAAAAATAAAAAAAACAAACCAACATTTGTAGTATATCTCTGCAATACATGAACATTTCTATGCAGTTTTTTTTTCATGTATAGACCCTGCATGTACAGAAAAATACTTATTGATCTGTTAGAAATACACTCTGGTCCTAAGTCTTGTTGTGGACTGACAACACGCAGCATTTTTATGGACTGAAATGCGTCGGTCCTTTCTGATTTCTCTTGCTATTCTACTTAGACCAACCTACTCTCCCATCAAAAAAAAGCAAATCATTCTGTAGTCCTAACATAAGGACTGTGGAAGCGCATTATTCTCCTTGAGATAACACAAGAAGTGTGCACAGGATATGCACAGGAAGTGTGCACAGAACAGCTGTGAATTTCTACCATGATCAAAAGGAATTTTTTGCATTTGTTATACAGATATAACAAAACTTTTTCTACTGGATATTTAATAAAACCAAAAGGGAGCAAATAAGAGATGTTCATTGCTAGGGTTTATATACAATTTAAAGGGAAACGCTAATGCTTTTATGACAATGTTAATTTATCAACTTGCATACACTGTTCATCAAGCATTTAGTGCCCAATGTTCTCTGCTGTGACATTCCTGACATGTACACACAGGAGCATTGTATCAGTACTGGACAGTGATCTGACAGTGTCTCTCCATGTAAATAAAGGGAATATGTAAAGGTTTGCTGTATATTATTTTATTATTCTCTGGATATATTTTTAAAATGTTTTTTGCTTTAGTCCATTATTTATGAAATAGCAAATGTTATATAGTCTTCTACACAGCCAGCTGGTGGAGCTTTTGGCTCCTTATCACATATTTTCATGTTTCTGCTGTGCTTCTTTAGTATAAAAAGCCCAACCATTACTAAGCTCTACAACTCAAGCTGAAATGTACATACCCGGCAGTGACTCATCTCACATTAGTTGGCTCTATTTCAGGTTTCAGTCAGATGGGCGCCAGTCTGAAAAGATTTTGCTACTGTGCTGTCTATCATGTTAACCCAAAGTGATGTCCTGGAATCCTTTGGCATGTGTTAAATGTTTTTATTGGTTAAACAAAGTATGTAAATGTATAGGAAATCTAAAACCTAATTTTAGAAATGTGTGTCTATTTCCATTATTAGTTCCCTTTCATGTGACAACCTGTATTGGCAAGTTTTAGTTTGAATTATTTGCCAAGATATACATGGTCTGTGAGATCACCAATGACTTCAAGTAGAACACCAGCCAAAGGAAGGGACTGAACCCCTGCCACGTTTCTATTGCTCTCCCCTTTGGGAAGATTTTTCTGCACTCTGCTTGGGGTCACTAGGTGTAGGAAGTGAGGACAAATCTCCCCAGTGGTGACACAGAAGAGACTAAAAAGCTGACATCTGTTCTAACCCTTCCTTTTAAAAAGTTACTTTTTGTTTTTGTATGTTTCCAGTTGAAGGTTCCTTTTCCTCCCAGTGACAAAACAGGAAGTATAGGGAATCCCTCCAATTGGAACATAGAAAGAAATAAAAACCTGAGAAAGGATCTGACCCATCTTCTATCCAGAGCTAACGGCAAATAAACATTTTGGACTGGCGTTCATCTTTAATGCTGATTGGTGCCTTTCTCTGTATTTTCCTGGTACTCCTATGTTCGTATTGGTGATTTACAGAAATGTGTTCACTAATTATGTTGTTGGTTTAATCTGGAATGTAGCTATTTTCCAGACCATAGTACTGAGAATGTCTTCTTTCGCAGAGCTCTGTGTGATACCACAGGCGTGGATCCCAAGCTGATCTCCCCAGAGTGGGTGTACAATCACTATAGGTGGATTGTATGGAAGCTGGCTGCAATGGAGGTCAGGTTCCCCGAGCTGTTTGCAAGCAGATGTCTGACACCAGAGCGAGTCCTATTACAGCTCAAATACAGGTCAGTATCACATTATCTGGCTTATATTTGCTAGTAAATGTTTAGAACAGAGGTGATCAAATTAATATGGGATTCAGGAGTCAGTCCATTCAGTCAAGGAGCCAGCAGGATATCTTTTTTAGGAGCCAGCTCCATTGACAACAACTAAAGAGAACCTCAAAAGTTAGGTGCCAACTGTAATTTTTTCTGTTTCAATATATTTTTTATTAAGAAATGTAAGTTACATTTCATAAACACGAACAATAGGTCGTACATTAGACATACATTAAGAACATACATGGCATGGAGTCATAATATTATATAGAGGATACTCAAATGTCCCTCAGTAAAGACCTGAGTCCAAACTGTGGGAATGGGAATATAAGTAACATAACTATGGTCTAGGAATGTAGTCTGTGGACTCGAGAGTCATCAAGTAAGTTGAATACTACCAATTGAACAGTATGTAAGATTGAAATATATTTAAGGATAGATAGAAAATAAAGAAGGATACAGAGATTAGATAGAAGAAGAAAACAGAGAAAAGGTGTGAAACCTTTGATTACGAGTAGGACCATCCATAATAACAGGACCGTTATATGATCAGGTTTTATATAGAGGGTGCAACATCCAACATGTCCATGCCTTATAGAATTTGTGATACCTATTGTTTCTTATGGCAAACATTTGTTCGTATGAGCAGTGTAATTCACTCTGCGAATTACTTCAGTGTAGCTCGGGGGTTCCGAATCTAACCACATCTGAGCGATCTGGGTTTTTGCTGCTATCAAAACGTGCATTATAACCGCTTTTGACGTTGAGTAGGTATATGAAGTAACGCTAGCACTGCATTTGGACAAATCTCTCTTTGTGCTAGATCTGATATCAGTTTAAAGATTTGGTTCCAGTAGGAGCGGATCGATGGACAGTACCAAAATATGTGAATCAAGGAGCCTATTTCTCCGCATGCCAGCTGTAATTTGTAATCTAATTTATAATCTTTGTTTGCCTGATGAAGGGACCAAACAGGTTCCAAAATGTCGCCATGTTGTGACATCACAGAGGTCAATCAAATATTGACTGAACTTGAGCTGGAGTGCAAATTACTTCTTCATATTTAAGCAATAATTGTTAGGCGCATTGGTGGCCTGACTCCTGGGATTTGACTGAGGTCAGGGCCAAATCCAGGGTAACCTCCATTAATGTTTGTTCTCCTGGTATAATTTTTTTAAAATATATTTTTATTGCTGTGTCAATACAAAGAGAAACAAAATACATAAATTAACATCTAACTCTACTTCTTCATCCTCTAATTATTATTTTTTTGGCTGGAGTTGAGCTTTAAAGCAAAGTTAGATAAGGGCCCTCTGTTATTTACCATCTCTGCTCCTGTCATTCAGCCTGCTCTGTACTGTAAGCCAAGTGAAAGTTCCACTTCCTCCTAGTATGAAGCACACATTCCCTTTTAATCTTCCACAGTGCTGTATTTGGTTCATAAATGGGCAATTAACATGCCCAAGTGCCATTCATGAGGCAATGTGCCAAGCAGGGTACAGGTGCCTACCATAGAATATTTGTTGGTATCTGCACAAGAATTTTGCAGGGGGTGGTAGACTGGTTTAGGAAAAACAAGAAAGCAACATTCAGGTGATGGCTACACAGTGGATGTTGTTGGAGCTTCAGTTCGGAGTTTTATTTTTAACAGAGGTTTACTTTAAATGTGGAAACTAAAGATTTATATATCCCTTATCCAATTCATTCTCTCTGACACTTTACTCTGTAATCCAGTTGGTGATGCTGTAAATAGCTCTGTACTATTTTCAGTGAAGCCTTTGATGAACTTATTGTTTCCTTGTGTCTACAAGAACACCAGCTTTTGGCATTGGACACAGTCAGTTTTTTAATGCTCTGTTCCATACAAAGTTTATAGAGCAGCAAACAACTGGAAATGTTTACCTATTTAAATCCACATTAAGGGTGGTCTGCAGCCAAGCAGTACGCAGTTGTGCAGATTTATGTTTGTATTTCATTCAGGCTAACAAGAACATGACATCTCTAATTACAAAGAGTGTGGCTGTGAAATGTTCTCTCTCGTAGGTATGAAGTGGAAATAGATAAAAGCCGGAGATCAGCTCTGAAGAAGATCATGGAGAGAGATGACACAGCAGCTAAGACCCTTGTTCTTTGTGTGTCTAAAGTCATTTCATGGCATGGCAATGATAAGAGCGAGTCCAATGATCCCAAGCAAGGTTCTGCTGTCATTGAGGTGACCGATGGCTGGTATGGAATCAAGGCTTTGCTGGACACTTCACTAACGGCACTGCTCCACAGAGGACGATTGTTCGTTGGTCAGAAAATAATTGTTCATGGGGCAGAATTGGTGGGCTCAGAAGATGCATGCACTCCCCTGGAAGCTCCAGAATCTCTTATGTTAAAGGTACAAATGGTTATTTTCTAAATTTTTCTGAACTTTTATGACTGGGAAACATATTCTGAAGATGTTCATTTGTTTTTAAATTCAAACCATACACTGTATATGATGCTTTGTTAAAACCATGGCCATACATTTTAAAGGAGAAGTATGGGGAGAGTGAAATACACTCATCCCCATAATGAGAGCCAATGTATGACATCGAAGCTGTCACACATTGGCTCTATTGATCGGGAACTGGGCAATCACATACCTCCTCCCTTCTCCATTTCTACAGCGCTGACTGGAAGGACAGATGGGGAGGGGACAGCAAAGCTGGCTCTGCCTCTAGAGAGGTCAATCAGCCAGCGGGGTGGATCTTGACCGTATTGTCGAGATCTGTCCCGGCTGCAGCACGACTCTGTGCTCTCATCATATATGGGGCAATAGCCCACTATATACTGAGTTTTGGGTCACTGGAGGACATGAGTATATGTCCTCCCATGACCTCGAAGAGAACTATGGGCAAAAACGTTGGCCCATAGTTTTCTTTTAAATCCTCTAAGGTTATTCCCCACTTTCTTAATTTCCATAACAGCGGGATGCTTGTTTCATGTGTGATGGCTTTGCTCACTGCAAGGTAAATTTGGACAAAACTAGTACCAGCGAAATGGGTGGAGGATGCAGCCTGCTCCAAGGGCAAATTTATCAACACTGGAGACAATATGAAGTTGTACACAACAGCCATCAGATGCCTTGTTTCATTATTTTTCAGTGAATGAAATATGGAACCTGATTGGTTGCCATGAGCATCAGCTTCATTTTGTCAATTTTTCATAAATTGTTCTCTCAAATTCTACATGCTACTGGATGCTTAAATGCTTACCACATAAAAATTGATAGCATTAGAAGATTTGACTCCTGCCATAATCCTTCCAGTGTATTTAAAGCGGGTTTGCTTAAAATACAGTACACTGGAACGAGTATGGCAGGAGTCAAATATTGTACATTTAGGCAGCAAGAAATGAATTTGTCTGCAGGTCTTTACAGATGTGATAGGAGTTGGGACAGCTAGATGGAATAACGCCGTTATTAGGCCTCATTCACACGGGTAACAGCCGGTCCATACAGATCCATGCTGCGTGCACGGCCGTATCAGGCCGCTCCGTGCTGCGTGTGATTATACGCAACAGCCTGTTCTTCTCTATGGGAGTACGCCGCCCTACACTCACCCGAACAGCTTGTCCGTACCGGTGCGGGTGTCTGTACTTGTACGCAGACAGGATGGATTCCCATCTCTCAGCCACACACTATACAGTGCCTTGTAAAAATATTCACGCCTTGGTTGCATTACAACCTGGAATTAAAATGGATTTTTTTCAGGGGGTTGTACTATGTGATGTACACAACATGCCCAAATATTTTTTATTGTGACACACACAATAATTAAGACAAAAATAAATATTGAGTGTGCAGAAGTATTCACCCCCTAAAAGTCAGTACTTTGTTACAAACGATGGCTCTACAATTACATGTTGTGTACATCACATAGTACAACCCCCAAAAAAAACATATTCCAGGATGTAATGCAATAAAACATGAAAAATACCTCGGAGGGGTGAATACTTGTGCAAGGTACTGCATTTCTCGATAATTATACTAAGAAGCAAAAGTCATCTCATGTGCTTTTGTTGGCCAGAAATAAATGTTTTGTTCTTTTTCTGATGCTCATTATTGTTCCTTAATTATGCATGGAGATTATCAGAAGCAATGCTTGTAATTTTGTTGCATCCGGAAAATGGTACACTGAGAACTTTATGTACACCAGGGAGCAGTGTTCTTAAATGTGCTCATGACTTTAGGTTTACGTAAAACATTTATGCTGAATTATCATTCTTTTTTTCTATAGTTTTCAGCCAACAGTACTCGTCCTGCTCGCTGGTATACAAGGCTTGGGTATTTCTGTGACCCCAGACCTTTCTGCCTTCCTCTCTCATTCCTGTTTGCTGAAGGTGGCATTGTGGGGTGTGTTAATATTGTCATACAAAGGATCTACCCTATGCAGGTAAGCCCGGAATTTAAAGCAAACATAGTAGTTTTGTACATATTTTACTATGGTCAAGACAAAACAAGCATTAATATATTTTATTTATAGTTTGGTAGACAAAAGATTAATACAAATGAATGTCATGTAGTTTCCTTTCCAGGCAGCAGGTGGAGCTCTAGTCTCCTTTTCACATCATTGGCATGGTGACTTTTCAGATATGCTGAAAGAAGCTCATTATTTTCAGATCAAGAATGAGTCATAAGAGCAGTGACTCCTCCCCAATGGGACGGCTGAGGTGGGAGCTGAAGAGCAGGCTTCTCTGTTGCCCTCCGTTTTAGATTAATGTTTGTCATTTATTTAATATATATTTGTTAAACACAGATTGCAAAAACAGAGTGTTTGGCTACTGCTCTTACACAGCATGTCCTAGTTGTCATTGGGGTGGGGGACCTAAAGCACGACAGGCCCAGGCAGCATAAATTCTAGAGGCCCGGTTCACAAAATCAGTATATTTGCATATTATTGATTCCTCTCGGATCCAGAAGCAAAATGTATAGGTTACATTTAGATATCCAATTACATTTGTCACAAATAACAGGCAAGATTTTGGTAAAGCAAATTGAACACGCCATAGCAATGCATCTGTTTAGCCTCAAGTACTTTTTTTTAATGCCAATAACTGATCGCCACTCCAATCTACCCTTCTTAATGGGCATGCTGGGGGGTGGAGAAAGCTGTCATCAGTGGGATCTCTTATATATTTATATTTCTGCAAGAGCCCGCACCATCTCAAGCACCCAGTGCTGCCTCTACAATGAAGAGCATACTGGCAGAGAGGAAGACTCTGGTGAACAATGTCTGCAAAGGGGGAAGCTACTCTAAGGGGGAGGGGCAAAACCCATGTATTTCCTAATTTAAATACAATCTACTTAGCTGTCATTTCTGATTGATTATCAATGCTGCCAGAAATGAAGAATCATAAAAACAAATTTTCTTTTCAGTGGATGGAAAAAATGGCCAATGGCACATATGTGTTCCGTAATGACCGAGCAGAGGAAAGAGAAGCAGAACGACATTCCTCAAAACAGCAAAAAAATCTGGAGGCCTTGTTCCTGAAGATTCAGGAAGAGTTTGAACAGCAGGAGGGTACGGAACTATTATTATATGGGATGGGAAATTAGCAGTCAATGCTGCAATCAGTAACATGGTACAGTGAGTACAAAATGATGACATTGTACAATTGGTAAATTATTCTTATAAACATAAAGCCCCATGTTATCTGTAATATGCAGATGAAGGTGATCCTTTGCCTGATAGCATTTTTGTTTCATTGATGTTCTGAATATAACTGTCATTGTAGTTTATGTATCACTAGTAGTAGTCCGTCACATTTACCTGGACTTGTTCCAAGCCACTTATTTAGTTCTGCTTGTTCTTGGGTGAGTGGTGAACCATCTGCAACATTACAGTCCAGTCCATTTGAATTCCACGAATGTGTCAGTCCCGTCAAATGTGACTAAGTACTTTTAACTAAACCATGGCCTGGATAAGTGAGAACCTTCAGACATATTGTTTATTTATTACTGGCATTTATATAGTGCTGACAAGTTTACACAGCACATATTGTACATTCACATTAGTCCCTGCCCCCAAGGAGCTTACAATCTAAGGTCCCTATCTCACATGCATGCAAGGGCCAATTTAGAGCTGAGCCAATTAACTCACCAGCATGTGTTTGAAGTGTGGGAGGAAACCCACGCAAGCACAGGGAGAACATACAAACTCCTTGCAGATTGTGACCTGAGTTAACATATGTTTTTACTTTCCTGTATGGAAGGTGCAGATTGTGGATTACAAAGCCAAGTTTACATGTTTTACTTTCTCTAGCATGTGAAAGGAAAGTGAGAGGTAAAAAGCGCAGTTCTTTAAGTGTAAACCAAATCGCTGCACTTCAGGATGGTGCGGAACTCTATGAAGCCCTTCAGAATGAACCTGACCCAGGATACTTGGAGGTATGATTGGCGAGATGCCACTTTTTTTTTACATGGAGCTGTGAGTTTGTAAATGTAAACTGTTCCCCGATTGCTTTAGTGCAGAAAGGACCAGACCACATGATAAGTACCCAGTCCACATAACCATTACAGTTGCCATCAGCTTTTTATAACCTTTTCTATTGTCAGCTTGTGTTCTCTGGTTCTATGAAAACTGCCCCATGATTTTTACTTTGTTTATTAAATTAACCAGATGCAACTGGACAGGAATAAATGCTATTTTTTTAATGGCACTTGTTGGTTAGCACTATTACCTGGTGTTGTTGGTGTCTTAGGTTTAACCCTGACCAGGGGTCCAGTCTACTGGGCCTGTATCTTCTTACAATGGCTTATTGGCATTCCTTTAACATTTTGTTATCTCCCATAGTCCAAAGATTGAAGAAACTTGTACTAAGAGAATACAACATTCTGAATATGCTAGTTGCCTGGCTGTCACACTAATCCAAATGCTTCAGTACTTTATCATTGACCTGGAACAAGTATGCAGAAAAGGAATTCTAATGCCACACTGTCTAATTTACATGCATGTTCCGGGTGGGTGGCTTAAAGTGACACTAAACTCAGGAGTTAAATCTCAAAAATACATTCAAGTACCTTAACTAGGAACAGAAATGTATCTTATTTGTGTATCATTCGGCTGTAGATCCTCAAATAATTTCTTAATTGGTGAATTGGACACTGTCCTTCCTTCTGGAGGATGGCTACTTTTGTTCCCCATGGTCCCTGTGTGTGTTGTAAAGTAGCCACCACTCCAAGCTCACTCCTGTGATGGAATACAATCTCATGTTTAGTTTACCAATTTGTATTGAGATTGTAGTCCATCACAGGAGGGAGCTTGGAGCGGTGACTACTTTAAAACACACAAGGACCATGGAGAACAAAAATAACCACCCTCTAGAAGGAAGGAGTGTCAGCATCAAATAAGATAAGTTTCTGTTACTAGTTAAGGTACTTTAAAGGTGGCCATACACTTTACAAACCATTGCAAGACCTTAGTCTTGCGATGGTTGTAAAGTAATTAAGAAAACATACGATCTGCCCATCTTGGACAGGCAGATCGTACTTGTGATCATCGCAAAACCCCACCCCCCGAGGGGTGGGCTTGCGATGACAGCAATGCTGAACGGGCACTGTGCGCACACCGGCCCGTTCGGCATTTGTCTCCCGAGCGTCATTCAAACCAGCCGAAAATTGTACGATTCTCGGCTGGATTTCTAGCGTGCTCCTTAGACAAAAGACGTGCGACCGTACAGTAGAAACAGTACAGTAGAAAGTAGGTTGCACGCCTTCATTCACACTGCACGATTCTCGTACGATTGCGGGATTTCCCGTGATTTGCGTACGAGAATCGTGCAGTGTATGGGCACCTGAATGCATTTTTAGGATTTAACTCCTGAGTTTAGTGTCACTTTAAACTTTTAAATCCAGAGACAGCCAGGCAGAAGTATTCTCAGAAGGAGGTTAGCAATGGCAGCCCTGTGTGTTTGTTTCCTGTAAAGGTGGCCGTGGACATTAGATGAGTCTTCTAATCAGGCTTGCATTATTATTTGATGTCTATAGGGCTCCTTCAGAAACTCTTGCCCAGGCTAATGTGGGGGAATAGTAGTCCGACTAGAAATCCTTGTCTAATTATATTTTGTTTTATAATGTATTTTTAGGCTTTAACTCTTGAGTTTACTCCAGAGGCAGCCAGGCAGAAGTATTCTCAGGAGGAGGTTAGCAATGGCAGCCCTGTGTGTTTGTTTCCTGTAAAGGACAGAAACACACAGACCGCTCCAGCGCTGGAGCTGTCTGCACGGATACTCTCCATAGACCTCCACATAAATATTTTTGAGTGTTGGGGATTTGCTGAGGTGCTCAGACCACCTTCTCATGTCTATGGCCATATATACTGAAAGGATAGTTGGCTTCTTTAGGCGCCTTCCTAAATCAAATATGTATTTGCAGTGTGTTAATCAAGTTATAATAACTTCTTCTGATTTCAGTCATGTATGAGCGATGAGCAGCTGCGTGCCTTGAATCACCACAGACAGCTTATTAATGATAAGAAACAAGCTCTGATCCAGACAGAATTTAGGAAAGCCATTGAATCTGCAGAGCAAGGATCTGGAGGCTGCGCAAGAAGAGAGGTGACACCTGTATGGAAGATGCGGATTGTGGATTACAAGGAACAAGACCCGACCTCAGGTCTGCTTAATCAGGACTTGTTATTTGCTTTACATTTATATGTATGTATACAGTGTATAGTCCTGTTTGTTATTTTATATTATGTCTTGTTGTAAATGGTGTTAAAGTTCTTCCATAGTGTAGCTGATGTTCCTTTTAGGTAAGTGGTTCTAAGCCAGAATTCAACAGTGTCAGAAACATGAACTGCCTTCATAACGACTTGGCAAGGAATCCAGTTCTAATCTGAATTGTAAGATGGAGAATGAGCTGCTCAATGGCAATACAGACCTTTCCTATCACAGATACCAATACATGTAGCCAAACACGTGTTTGTGTATGAAGGAGTGGGGATCAGAAGAAATGAAGTGCTATGGTTTGGGGGGAGGGGGGGGTTTCTGATCAGCTATTACATATAAGGTGTACTGCACATAGTCTGCAGTACTGTACAGGCGCACCCCTATTTACTCCAAATTCTAGCTAAAGGTGGTACTAGTAAAATATCAACGTAATCCTGTCTCCTGTACTCTCAGGCATTTGGAGGCACCCTGCACCCATCCTGGCAGTACCGGGCTATATCGCTCTGATCTCTGCCTTACATCTGTGCTGGCAGCAGCTGTTTCTTTAGTATATGGCAGGTCTAGCTATTCAAATCTAAAGGGTATAAGTTTATAATCATGCGTATAGAATGCAATTATAAATACTATTAGAAGTATACATTTTCCATTGTTTGTGGAATTCCCAGAATCCTATAATGGGATAAATGAAGAATCCCCTGTATATGAACATTTTGCAGTGACTCTATACATGTGAAAAGGAAAGTCTCGCAGGTCTCATTCATCAAGCTGCATCCATTAAGAATTGTCTAAGTTGCTCACAGCAGTTTTTTTTCTCTCGGCCTGAAATCTGCAATGTTCAGTGACAAATCTGAAGTTCACAGCATGTGCGTTTGTAGCAATCTGATCTCTAAAATGTATATTTTCCCCTCTCCTTTCCATAGCCTATATGCTCAACATATGGCGCCCTCTACCTGATCTAGTCTCCCTTCTAAAAGAGGGCTGCCGCTTCAAGATATATCAGCTGGCCGTCTCCCAATCAAAATGCAAAGCAGTCACAGCAGCGGTGCAGCTAACGGCTACGAAGAAGACGCAGTTCCAGCAGCTGCAGGTGTGTAATCTAAGGCTCCATTCACACCTAGGTGTATTGTTGCAGCAGATTCAGCGCGACAAAGCGCTCCATCTGAGGAGTCCTATTCATTTCTATGACCCCCGTTAACACCCGTGAGTTTTGTCGCAAGCAGAAATATGCCTGACGCTCGAAATAGTACATGAGCTACTATGGGGCAGCTTACATACACTTGAAAACGCGCATTGTGATTTTGTTTTTACACACGGCTTGTCCATTCACATGAATGTGCCAAAATCTGCTCACAAAAATGCATGACTTAATATACATGCGTTAAAGGAGAACTATGGGGTCAGTGTTTTTCCCCATAGTTCTCCTTAGGGTAACGGGAGGACACAAACTAGCGTCCTCCCGTTACCCTAAGCTCAGTATACCGCGAGCTACAGCTCGCGATATATTGAGACGCCAGAGCGGATCGCGACATCGATGTCGTGATCCGCCCAGCTGCGTGAGTGGCAGCTGGCTCTGCCTATCCAGAGGCAGAGCCAGCTGTAACCGCCCCCTCCCCGTCCGTTCCTCCAGTCAGTGCTGGCGGATCGGAGTGGGGAGGGGGAATCCATCCCCTCCCCTGTCATGGCAGAGAGCCGTGACAGGATCGAGAGGTGAGCGAACGCCGCTATGTGTTCGCTCACCTCCCGATCTACTGAGCCGACCCGATCTACTGAGCCGACCTGTGACAGTCTCATTGCCACACGTCGGCTAGAACTATGAGGTGAGTGAAAAGCACTCACCTCATAGTTCTCCTTTTTAAGCATGCGCAAAAAATGCTCAAAGACAATGGTAAAAATGTGCGTAAGAGGAGTTGCCTAGGTGTGAATGGAGCCTTAAGGTGGCCATACACTGCGAATATCGCACAATGGGTGCCGCTGCTGACACCCTTTCGGCTGACAACCCTTAATCAGATTATTATTATGTCTTCTGCCTGTGATTATTGTGTCCTCTGCCTGTGATTGTGTCCCCTGCCTGTGAGCCTCATGTCCTCTGCCTGTGATTATTATGTCCTCTGCCTGTGATTGTGTCCTCTGCCTGTGATTGTGTCCTCTGCCTGTGATTGTGTCCTCTGCCTGTGATTATTATGTCCTCTGCCTGTGATTGTGTCCTCTGCCTGTGATTGTGTCCTCTGCCTGTGATTGTGTCCTCTGCCTGTGATTATTATGTCCTCTGCCTGTGATTATTATGTCCTCTGCCTGTGATTATTATGTCCTCTGCCTGTGATTGTGTCCTCTGCCTGTGATTGTGTCCTCTGCCTGTGAGTATTGTGTCCTCTGCCTGTGAGTATTGTGTCCTCTGCCTGTGAGTATTGTGTCCTCTGCCTGTGAGTATTGTGTCCTCTGCCTGTGAGTATTGTGTCCTCTGCCTGTGAGTATTGTGTCCTCTGCCTGTGAGTATTGTGTCCTCTGCCTGTGAGTATTGTGTCCTCTGCCTGTGAGTATTGTGTCCTCTGCCTGTGAGTATTGTGTCCTCTGCCTGTGAGTATTGTGTCCTCTGCCTGTGATTGTATCCCCTGCCTGTGAGTATTGTGTCCTCTGCCTGTGATTGTGTCATCTGCCTGTGATTGTGTCCTCTGCCTGTGATTGTGTCCTCTGCCTGTGAGTATTGTGCCCTCTGCCTGTGATTATTGTGTCATCTTCATACTGAGAAAAGAATAACCAGTCTAGACTTCCGTTCTTAGTGTGTGTACTTCTATCCCTACATTGCTGCTATTGAAACAGTTTAACTAAACTTAAAGTGCAACTGAAGCCAAAACCTGACTCTCTCTATTTGTCCTGGTGTCCTTTATCACTAAAAGTGAAAGAAAATCCCAAATTGTGGGTGGTCACCAGGACAGGAAGAGCTGGGAAATATTCTAATGGGCACACAAATTCTGGTGACACAGCTCACCACCAGGGATTTCCCTCCTAATGGAGGGATTTCTTCTCACTTCCTGTTGTGGCCTTTGAACAGGAAATGAAGGGAAATCTCCCTATTGGGACATCGATGGCAAACATAAAAGCTGACAGGATTATAACACCCCCCCCCTTACTCTAAAACTAAAAAAAAAAGGGGGGGGGTTGGCTTCAGTTATGTTTTAAAGTAACCCATTATATTAACATTTTAGGCAATAATGACAAGTTAACATATTATGTTTTGTAATGTTTTACCAAATTTAAAAAGTCCAGAGACCATTCTGCTTAACCTTCTATTCCTGCTCTCATCACTGTGCATTTTTCAGCCCGCACAGGACGTCCTGGAACAGATTTACACGGAGAGGCAAGTGACGGACTTTAGCCGGCTTCTGGAGCCTAATTTTACCATAGAGTACGGTGAGGTTGACCTCGTGGGCTTTGTGATATCCACACACCAAAAGATAGGTACAAACTGGAGACTGGAAACACTTTTTATATTTAAGATGCACAGATGTAGAACACCCGATAAAGCAGATGCTGTTCCATGTGTCTTTCAGGTGGCGCTCCCATTGTGTATTTGTCTGATGAAGCCTGTGACATTGTAGCAGTGAAGTTCTGGACAGACCTCTCCCTGGTGGAACTCGCAAAGCCCGGTACCTTCATTGCAGCCAGTAACCTTCGCTGGAGGTCAGAATCTACTGCTGGAATTCCCATGGTGTTAGCGGGAGATCTGTCCTATATTGCTGCAAACCCCAAAGAGCCACATTTACAGAAGGCCATTCACAAACTTCGCCAGTCTGTCCAGGTAACACTTCTGACAAAAAGGGGGACTGTAGCCAGGGGCCCCATAGCAAAATGTTTTATTGGTCACATTAAAGGGTCAAACCATTTCTTACATGAAGCAGACAAGGCATTACAGAATGGGCTATGTAATTAGACATTAGGTTCAGTTCAATGTCCCCCAAACTTGTCCTCTACTCCCTCCAACAGTGTTTGTTTTACAGGCAACCTCACACAGGTACAAATTAAGTTTTTGTACACATTGGGGGCTGTATGCACAATACATGAATAGTTTTTAAAAGAAGACTATGAGCTAAGTGAATTACCCTCATCCCCATAGTTAGAGCCGACCTGTGACATTGAAACTGTCACACGTCGGCTCTATAGATCGGGAAGTGAGCGAACGCATACCGTTGCTCGCTCACTTCTCAATCATCTCCCTGCAGAGAGCCGTGACTGTCAGTCACCACTTCCCGCAGGCATTCCCCCCCTCCCCTCTCCGATCCTCCAGCGTTGACTGGGGGGGATGGAGCGGGCCTAGCTGGCACTACCTCTAGATAGGTAGTGGGCTCTGCTTTTCAGCCAGTGGGGTGGATCTCGACAGTATTGGCTGCAGCTCGGCTCTGCGCTCTCGGCATTCAATGAGCAAAAGCCTGCTATATACTGAGTCACGGGAGGACATTAGTATATGTCCTGCCGTAACCCTTTTGTGATTGAGTGGTATAAAAATCTTGGTGAGTTATTAATTATTAATAAAGGGGCGGTGTCTGAATTATAGTTAGATTCAATAGACAGTGCCTCCGGCCGATTACGGCAAATAATAAATAACTTAATAAACAGTATGAATTTAGTTCAGACACTTAATAATACATCCTAAAATCAATTCTCTTGAGTTATTTGAGCTTATGGTGATTTCTTACCAAAATATATAAATATCTCCCAATTACATGAATCAAAATAATTTATTAATATACAAGTATAATCATATATTTCTGTACAAAACTTAAATGACTTATTGTAGCAGTGAAGTTCTGGACAGACCTCTCCCTGGTGGAACTCGCAAAGCCCGGTACCTTCATTGCAGCCAGTAACCTTCGCTGGAGGTCAGAATCTACTGCTGGAATTCCCATGGTGTTAGCGGGAGATCTGTCCTATATTGCTGCAAACCCCAAAGAGCCACATTTACAGAAGGCCATTCACAAACTTCGCCAGTCTGTCCAGGTAACACTTCTGACAAAAAGGGGGACTGTAGCCAGGGGCCCCATAGCAAAATGTTTTATTGGTCACATTAAAGGGTCAAACCATTTCTTACATGAAGCAGACAAGGCATTACAGAATGGGCTATGTAATTAGACATTAGGTTCAGTTCAATGTCCCCCAAACTTGTCCTCTACTCCCTCCAACAGTGTTTGTTTTACAGGCAACCTCACACAGGTACAAATTAAGTTTTTGTACACATTGGGGGCTGTATGCACAATACATGAATAGTTTTTAAAAGAAGACTATGAGCTAAGTGAATTACCCTCATCCCCATAGTTAGAGCCGACCTGTGACATTGAAACTGTCACACGTCGGCTCTATAGATCGGGAAGTGAGCGAACGCATACCGTTGCTCGCTCACTTCTCAATCATCTCCCTGCAGAGAGCCGTGACTGTCAGTCACCACTTCCCGCAGGCATTCCCCCCCTCCCCTCTCCGATCCTCCAGCGTTGACTGGGGGGGATGGAGCGGGCCTAGCTGGCACTACCTCTAGATAGGTAGTGGGCTCTGCTTTTCAGCCAGTGGGGTGGATCTCGACAGTATTGGCTGCAGCTCGGCTCTGCGCTCTCGGCATTCAATGAGCAAAAGCCTGCTATATACTGAGTCACGGGAGGACATTAGTATATGTCCTGCCGTAACCCTTTTGTGATTGAGTGGTATAAAAATCTTGGTGAGTTATTAATTATTAATAAAGGGGCGGTGTCTGAATTATAGTTAGATTCAATAGACAGTGCCTCCGGCCGATTACGGCAAATAATAAATAACTTAATAAACAGTATGAATTTAGTTCAGACACTTAATAATACATCCTAAAATCAATTCTCTTGAGTTATTTGAGCTTATGGTGATTTCTTACCAAAATATATAAATATCTCCCAATTACATGAATCAAAATAATTTATTAATATACAAGTATAATCATATATTTCTGTACAAAACTTAAATGACTGGTGATTACAATTCAAATACACAATCAAAGAAATAAATGGACAGTAATTATCAAAATATAAAAAGAAAATACCTAGACACCCTTAAGACAGTTTCTCACTTTCCACAGCCCGTAAGAAAGAAAGACGTATCTCAAAAGTAGAGTTTCCCTTACAATCCTAACGAGTTCTGGAGACAATAGGCTTACGAGTCTAACAGGAACAACAAACAAACAGGCTAGTGCACCTACAATAGCAACTAGCTACACACAGATCTGTACCCAATTTAACCATACACAATACAATATCAGAAATCAAATAGAAAAAGATATGGAAACATTTATCAGAATAATTCACCCTGCACACTGACAATAAGAATTATCATAAAAACACTCATACTAAAATATAATCGCTATGATTTTGGAATAAAGAAGTTCATCTCGATAATTAGTCTTTATCTCGCCACTCCTTCAAAAGAAAAATGTTCAGAGTCTTATTGGATGAGATGATGGCTCGTCTCAGGCAGCAAGGGTTAGAGGTATCGGCAGTGGTCAATGAGCGGCAGCCTTTTTGGTGTATCCAGGAAGTCTTCTTCAGAGGGCTTTTTCCTTTTCTTCTTCTCTCTTCCTTCTTTTCCTCTTCTTTTTTTTTTTCTTCTTTTCCTTCTTCCCTCTTCTTTTAAGAAGTGTCTCATTGTATTTTATATGATTTGGAAGCATTGTTGGTATTGGCGACTCCCCAACCACTATTTACTTCCGTTCAATTGATCGGTTCAGAAATGGGCGGTAACTGGTCATTTCACTTGTATTGTCTGCACTCAGCTGAGTAAACTTTGCATGTCTTTGAGAACTTTCTCAACCTCAGACAATAATCATAGGCGATCCCAATCTTGGAACAATGGGGGTGAATTAACTGTCTTGGAGTTTTTATGGTTCTTGGTTAATTTTTCATATGGAGCCGTGATATCCTCAATCTGGGTCTTTCTTGATGAAATACTTGTATTTACTGACCTTGAAGGTGAGAGTCTCTCAGCATTGTCATATGTGGCGAGCTTTAGACTTCATTTGCAATATTTACCTCTTTGAATATTTTTAGTTGTACAAAAACAAGTTCCTCAAGGCTCCCTCCTGTATTGTTTGCTTAGTTTTGTACGCAATAGGCTATTTTGGGTAATTAATGTATCTGTCAAGCCCAGACTTCTGGCCCCCTTGTCTTACAGAGTGCATAGAAAGGTTTGATTTAGTTTTTGTAAAAGTCATAGTTCATCAGTTTTTTGTAATTTTATATAGAAATACCCTGACAAGCCTAAATAGAACTATGGGGGGGGGGAAAGGTTACCCCATAGTCCTCCTTTAAGACTGGGATGTGTTTGGGAGATACTACATAGTTTCATTGTTCCTGACCTTTATTAACTTCTGTAAGCAAGATTTGTGTGCCTTGTACTGCATGCATAATTTAATTCACAGGTTTGTGATGAAGGAAATGCCAAGGTGGTAGGCTTTGATGGTAGATGCATTGGTTCTTTTAGCTGCTTTGATGGCAGAGCAAGAAGTGAAGAGGTCATATTAAAGGTCATTTGATGCTGTGATGAAATCTTTGTACTCGTACTGTGCTGTGAGCTACTTTCCCCTGCTGAAGCGCCCAAGGTGGCTGCCTCTTCTGCCTACCCCTCCCTGTCCAATATGCTTCAACAGATCACTGAAAATAGTGCTGCCTGGCACCTCCACCAGCTGTCATGGAGAGCTGTAAACACCAGGCAGAGATTGAATCCTGTTCCACTCCACCCACCAAGACATTGATTTTGTGTGGTAGTAGTGTAATCATGAGTTTTTAAGTTCAACAAAACAGTGAGGATGTCGTGGTGTATGGACACGGTTAGTTTTATACACGTCTCTTCTGCACTACGTTATTAGATCTGATGGGCTTTATTGTACACTTATAGTAACAGTGACCGTCTCCAGTATTACCCCACTAACCTGAACATACTCTGTACACAGGCTGTCCAGAAGTTCCGACATGAAGCTGAGAGCAAACTGCTCAACATCCTGAGAGTCCCCCATCCCGAGGAGAGGAGGTCTCTGGCTCAGCAGGGTTCAGATTCACACACTGCTGCAAGCAAGTTCTCTGTAAGTTCATTACTGCATTTCTAACATAGCACCTAGTCTTAGAGGACCAAGCTGTGTTTACACCGCAAAATGGCATGAAGGGGCCAATAGAACGGACTTGTTGGAGAACTGTAATGCTTTGTGAAAGGCAGGCTAGACCTGACATAAAATCTGGGGGTTCCATGCTGATCATATACCTGCTTGCTCATTAATTAAGTGCTGTGACTAGTGCTATGAATAGACCTTTTACAGAATCTTAGCAGAGAATACTGTATGGCATCACAGAGGCATGAATGGGAATGTTCAGCCCTCTGAGGAAGGCACAGCGATGACTGATGTACCATATTTCATATTCAGGAAATCAACTTGCTTTTTTATTTTAGTGCAGAAACCGTCTAGTCCTGTGTATGGTTTTAGAGCTCTCCTCCACTGGCTGTAGTGGTGTAATAATGTAGCATGCTAAGGCAGATGTATGAAAGTATGGAATTGGGCTTTGGCTTCCTGCTACTAGGAACTATAGTTCATACATCTGTCTCATTCTTTGTGATTCCTATAAATGAATCAGGAAATGAGAACATGTGAATTCTGTTTTAGTATATTATTGTATCAAGTGCTATGCATTGCAACGTTCTGATTCCTCTTTTAGACCCCAGTGGCCAAACTTGGAAGAGCCCAGATGAATGCCGTGAGCACCCCTGACAGGAGTAATGTAATAATCAGCTCTGGTAGTGACACGGATCCAAGGACGTGCAAGAAGATGAAAGGCCTGGACTTCCTTAGCCGGATCCCTTCCCCTCCACCACTAACACCAGTGCGGCCTCTTGTGTCGCCACCATTACAAAAAGCATTTCGTCCCCCTCGAAGCATGCAGAAAGACGTACAGCCCGTTCTAATGAGTAAAGGGGAATTTGTAGCTGATGAAGAACTGGCCATGATTAATACACAAGCTCTTATCTCAGGATTAGAGGAAGGAAAAATACAGCCAAAAGCCGAAATGTCAGCTGATGTACGTAGAGAAAAGATCTCTCCTAATCCTTCTGAGGAGAAACTCAATCCTCCCGGTAGCAGCAGCCATACAGACATTGATATGACCACAAAGAAAGAGGACCCGGGCTTCACTGAGCAAGGAAGACTCCGCACAAGAAAGAGACACAGACTCTGAACAACAGGCGTCCTTTATTTGTACATATTAAGACATTGGAAACTGTACAGATGTTTAAAATGTTTATACATTGTAAATATAAAAAGATTTGTGTTGGAAAGGACACATTGAAGCACCTTTTATCACAATATTCTATGGAAAGAAAAGGTTTTAAGAACTCCAGCATGTGCACAGCATTGGATTGTCAGGAGTATAAAGACCCCTTTGAGCCTGCAGCTTTAGGTCTAAACCCTCGGTTCTCAACTGGTGGGTCGCGACCCCCTATTCAGAGGGTCCCCACATGCCTTCCATTTTTCTGGGTTAGAGGCTCCTCAGCCTCCCCCTAGCACAACATTGTCAGTTCTCATGCCAAGCAGCCATTCAAAATATGCTGCCGGTGCCAAGTGTCAGCTTGAGGTGGGGTAGGGTGGACTAGGGCTATGGCCGCGAGGGAGCTCCATCTATAAGTGCATTGTTGAAAGCTTCCTTCGCGTGTCTTGTAGCGGTGCCTGGACCGGAGTGAAGTCACATTCTGGCTCCCGATACCTCTACAGGGCGTGCAAGAAAGCTGTACAAGCAATGCACATATGGATGGAGCTCCATCACAGCACAGCAGCCCACAATGGACAGCCCATCCCTCTCCAGTTCTCGTAAGAAAGGGAGACAGGGTGGATTTGTAAAAAAAACATTTTGGAGTGCGTATGTGTGTGTGAGAATATCTGTGAGTGTATGAGATTGTGTCCTTGGTTCTGGTGTCTGTCAGTGCTTTTGAGGGCCCATTCACACCAGTACAGTGCTGTGGAATTACCGCACTGTACCACGCAATTGCACCTACCGTGCGTTCTGGTGTGAGAGGTGCATTGCATTGTCATTCATTTGAATGACACCCCAAACGCTTCTCCCACCCACAGTTCTATTGCCCGCATCGGAACATGTGGGACAGCAATGCTTCGCATACCTTTTACAGTTCAACTTGGGTCGTGACTTGATGACCAAGGACAAATGTGGGTCCTGAGGTTACACAGGTTAAAAACCACTGATCTATACTATACGGGTGATTTTTATGCCAGGCCATTGCCTTCTAATTACTGGTCTTGAGTTCACTATACTGCAATGGAGGAGACGGTCAACATGTGGTTTATGTGCTGCTGCTAAAATCCTGGGGTCAGGGATTTACTCAAAGGCAACTATAAAATGATCATTAATAATTAAAAAGTGTAAACCCCTTCCCCATAGATGCCCTTGTGGCTGACAAAGTTTGGAGACATGCAAAGCATAGTGCAGCAGAGAGCGTAAAGTGATGCAAAGCGATGAGTACTTAAAGGGCCAGTATAGCTCATAGGTAACAATACCCCCCCTGAGGTGTCACCTTATGTCTTAGAATCCATGTTTTTCATAAAGTGACAAAAAGCTCAAGAGCGTCCAGTCCTGATCATATACCTTCTTGCTCATTAATTAAGTGCTGCCGCTAGTGCTATGAATAGACCTTTTCTTACGTCTTAAAAATAAATTCAAGGACTTTAACTATTAACAGAAATCTATCTTATTTGTGTATCACTCGGCTGTAGATCCTCAAATCATCTCTGAATTGGTGCTGACACTGCCCTTCCTTCTGGAGGGTGGCTACTTTTGTTCCCCATGGTCCCTCTGTGTGTTGTAAAGTAGCCACTGCTCCAAGCTCACTCCTGTGATGGACTACAATCTCATGTATAGTTTACCAATTTGTATGGAGATTGTAGTCCATCTCTGGAGTGAGCTTGGAGCACTGACTACTTTATAACACACACAGGGACCATGGGGAACAAAAGTAGCCACCCTCCAGAAGGAAGGGCAGTGTCAGCACCAATTCAGAGATGATTTGAGGATCTACAGCCGAGTGATACACAAATAAGAGACATTTTTGTTAACCGTTAAGGTACCTGAATGTATTGTTTAACATTGAACTCCTGAGTTGTGTCACTTAAACTCACCAAGGGGTAACCTGCTTAGCTTTGGGTGAGCTCAGGCAGGCGGCAAAGTATAAAACTGCTTATTATGTTTTGTAGCCCTTTTCTTAGAGAAGTAAAGGAGTCATGTATCACCGTCCACTCTCCTACTCCAATGCGTCTCTTCAGGTTACAGAAACGTCAATGTAGGGCTGCTATTGGTCCAGCTATACCTCAGAAAAATGATTGCTTTTATTTTCAAGCTTCATTCTGTGCTTGTTACTTAGACACACAAGTAAAATGTCTTCTTCCTTTACCGTCTCTCACAAAGTAAAAGGATTGTTTCACCAAAGTGGCCACCTGCTACCTTTACCCCGGAAGCTCTGCCAGGCTTTTTTGTCATTCTTTATGATTGGTATTAGGAACAGAACTGTGCACAGGAGAAGTTACAGAAACACTAAATACACATTTACAATAGGGATGCACCGATACCATTTTTTCCAGACGGAGCACAACTACCGATACTTTTCCTCTGGTACTCGCCGATACCAATTACTGATACTTTTTTTTTTCCTGTGACATTTTTATAAAACAATACAGACTGATGGTTTTAGGACAGTGATGAAGCTCCAGGGCCCGGTCCCACCTGCAACCCTGGCAGTTCTGCCACTGACTCCAAGCTGTAGAGGCACTACAAATCCCAGCAATATAATATACAGGAATGCAGAATAATACCATCGGCTAAAGAAAACTAAAAATCCCAGTGATACATTATACAGCAATGCTGAATGGCAACCGCTATAGGAGGACCACAAATCCCAGCAATGCAGAATAATATGAAACTACATACTCTGTGTTGCTCCAGGGTGCTTGCCTGATGTCTCCAGCGGAGGATCTCAGGTGGCTGTGCAGACTCTCAGGTGGGCTTTGCCAGGTCTATGGTGGGCTGTGTGGAGTATCGGTTGGCTGTGCGGCTCTATGGTGGTCCGTGCGACTCTCAGGTGGCTGTGCGGGGTTAATGGTGGCTTTCAGGTGGCTGTGTCTCTCACCCAGGTCCTGGTTGGTCGGTCCTGGTGCGGCTCAGGTAGCTATGTGTATCACCCGGGTCCTGGTCAGTCAGCGGGTGGCATGGAGGAGATTTTTGGGCTGCGCTGTAAACAAGCGCCGCCGTTCACAGGAAGACTGCGGGGACCTAGCTGGGGACATTGGCACCCTTCCTGTTGAGCCCGAGGCTTATTTACAGCGCTGGCTTCAGTTTAACGTGCTGGTATCGGTGCTTTGTATCGGGGGGTATACAAGTACTTGGTACCGATACTAGTGCTGGGATTGGTGCATCCCTAATTTACAATGAAGCATACATTGGAATTATTGTGTTTTTATTACAGAATGTAAAAGTCTTACAGCTTCTATATTAATGAGAAATGTTTTAAAAAATAGATTTTATATTAAAAAAAGATAAAACATGTTAAAAGGTACAAAAGAAAGTGAAGTGCACAGAGAGAAGTTATAAGTGCAATTGTGTGTTATCCGAGTAGTACAAGCTAAATGTAGGCTGGCGCCATACTAGATTAGAATTTTGTTTGAACGTTCCTTTGAAATAGTTCATTAGAACATTCGATCTTGCTATCGTTCAGTAAACTCATTCATTTGGAAGGGAAGGTACAAGCACATTTCCTGAATGTGCGACATTAAGACCCCGTTCACATTGAGCGATTTATCGCGCGGTAATTCCCGCGATATCGCGGATATTTACCGCGTGATATCGCTCTTCAATGCTTTGCAATGGGGCAAAGGGTCCTGCTGTCGCGGGTCGTGTGTCGCTACAGCAGGACCCTTTTTGGAGCGGATTTTGCTGCGATTCCAGTTTGCTCAATGCAAGCATTTGCGCGCCAAATCGCGCGATATCGCGCAAAATGCAAATCGCGCAACAAACGCGCGATTTGCGAATCGCGCAGTGTGAATGGGGCCTAAAAGACACCGCTGGCTCAATTCACTAACATAGAACAATGATTTGCCTTGAAGAGCTCCGGGCAAAACGTTCAATAACCCTTGCAGTGGGGCTACTCCTGCCCTGTAAGGGTTAACTGTTGTCTTTTATTTCTGTCTAGGGTGTAAAACAATGTATACTTACCTGAACCTTGGAGGCGGCTTGCTCTTAGACCGGTGCTCCCGCCTCTCTCCCCCCCACTGCTGCAGCAGTCTAAGGTCCCATAAAACCTTCCTGCAGTGAAGAAGGAGGCGGGCTTCAGAGACGGGTGAAGCAGGGAGCCGGCTCAGAGGTTCGGGGGACTATCACTTAGACCAAAGCGAGCAGTTAACCCTTACAGTGAGGGAGTAGTCCCACTCCAAGGGTTCATCAAAGCTTTGTCTATAAAGCCTCTTATTGCCATGAAGCGTTTAGAAGCCGTACTTATAAGCAGATGTGTGATCAGAGTCATAGTGAGATTTCAGGACAAGTCTGATAACCTATAATACATGGCCAGCAAGGAAATCGTCAGCTTATAGGAAACTACAAATCCTAGCACGGCTCACAGACTCGCTCATTATCCTGGATGTGTGATGGTAATTCCTGCCGTCATCTCTTCCTGACCCACACATGAATAGTACAGATGATGCTCAAACTGCATGTCTAGCACACATGGTATTTAGCACATATGATATGATTTGGTTGGGGTCTGTACAAGACAAATGCTCTATATTGTGCAGACCAGCATGAGACGGTTTTCATGTCCATGGATTACCTTTCATGATTCTTTCTAAGCGCTACAATACATTCTTTTATGTGTTAGATACACTGTGTAACTCACACAGTGGGTGCCCCTAGCACCACCATTCCATCCGGCATCCTTGGATCAGAAAATCAGTGATGGCAACCGATCAGCTGCTGTCCCTGTTCAGGTATTCTGACAGCGGCACGCCCACCCCTGTCAAAATACAGAAAGGGGAATTCATCAAAACCGAAGCAGACAAAATTTGGAGCAGCTGGTACCCAATCAGCTTCTCTCTTTCATTTTTCAAATCTTCACACTGAACAAACTGAAGAGAGATGCTGATTGGTTGCCATGGGCAACTGCTCCAGATTTTGTTTGCTCCAGTTTTGATAAATTCCCCCCAAAGAACGCGGGAGATTCGTCCATCCACACTGTATATAGTGTGGGTAGAGGGATCTGGCAAGCTTTACTTTGTTACAAAGCATCCAGGTACCCTCCAAACCAGGTGCAATGTATTATGCAGATAACAAGTAGACCCTCCAGCATTGCATCGTGGCCTCACTTTCTTCCTGTGATAGGTAAGGTTCAAATATGGGGGGCAGAGAGATGCAGACCACTGTGCAGCACGCAATGTCTGGTCCCGGGCTGAATAATACAGCGATCCTTTCTGCATTAGTATGTGCATATATACACATACACACACACACACACACACCACACTGAAGACATGACACAAGATGTATGTTTGACTCTGGTGTTCATTTCGGCAATAGTGAGGTCACACAGCAATAAGCTGCTGCAGGACAATGATGGGAGTTGTTCTGTGATCAGACCTAAGTAAAAAGTTAAAAAGTCCCCATTTCTTTCCTGCCAAGAATGTTATGTACTAACCGGTTCCCTCCTGGTATCACACTACCATCTGACATGAGATAAAGTGGATTTAAAATTGTATATATTCAGACTTTGCCAGGCCCATGAAGAAGCACGGCGCTCGTACTACATATTTGCACCCTGTCTGAAGTGTGCCATTTGGAAATGGCCTTTTGAAGGACAGCACAGTGTAGGAGTCTCAGGAATGCTGGGACTTGTAGTTTCACTGGAGAGGTAAAGTTATCTGACCCATAGGTCTCCCCCCTGGGGGTTCCTCTTGTCCAATTTAAGATGGCTTCTCTGCGTGCAGGACGCTGCGGAAAGTGACGCTGTGCTCATACACATCTTTCATCCGTTGGATCTTCTGTCTGGGGACACCGTGGCTATTTCTCCTACAATACAGGTACAAATACTATCTGGACCATTTTTATAGCAATAGTTTGTTTCATCTAAATGCAATGTATTAAACATGTGGACCATTCTTGGACAAACACAGTGGTAACGGCGCAACATTATCCTTCAGCATTAAATACTTGTCCCTCATCTTATATCAGTAAGACTTTCTCTCTATATAATGCCCAGCCCCCCATATAAAGCTCTACTGTGGGGTTTAATAGTTCTCAATCTGATCTGGAGTGTGCTGGGAAAGGCCCTGTATGATCTCATAGTGGGACAGACTCTCTGGACACTAAACTAGCCATTACACACAACATTATTCCAACCAATGACAACCCTTACCTAGATTTACCAAATACATTCAACAGAAATGTGCCATTAAAACAACTTATCTGTAGCCTTTGATGTAGGAGCAACTGCCTCCCAGTCATTGTATTCACTGCCTACAGACCAACTAAAGCGTATATCTGACTGGTGTAAACTGGAATGTGATTGCTACACCGCCTGGCCTTTGCACTGCTAGAAGTGAACGTCCGATGTTTACTGGCAGCTTTGTTTTGTCAGTGAATTCCTCCTTCAAGGACCATCTACGTGACTAGAGGATGGACTAGAACTGTAAACACTGTAAATGAACCCACAAAATGGAACAGGGCACTGCACTTTAGCTTGTATGACTGTGGTGTGTATATACTGTGTATATTTATATATATATATATATATATGTGTGTG